TGCTATGACTTAAAGATGATATAATTTCATTATACAGCATACTATACATATAATAATTTTTTCACGTAAAATAAAGCGCCGACTTACACCCGAATCGACTTACGAGCGGTCAGTCGGAAACGATGGCGGCTGTAAATCGCTGACGACCTGTACCTGTTTGAAACACTCTGGGCAGAAACGTCTGTGTGTTTTTGGGCTGGTTCATGAGGGGGGTGCTGTGTCATTTCTTGAACTTCAGCAGGATCGCCAGAGCCATGCATACAGGGGGCATCTGCACAGAAACAGATTTGTTATAGGAAAATCAATACCTATGTTTCTTTATCTGGAGGCACCTGTCTAGGATTTAGTATTAATAGAGGTATTAGGCCAGAGTGTCCCATTTCCTCTTTCCTCTTTCTCTCCTGTTATTGGCTAAGTGACATTGGTCATAATGCATGACACATGCCTTTTGAAAAATGACATGCAGGTCCCCATCATTCTAAAATTAAATCCTTTTCAAAGGCTTAAGGTCTTACAGATAATTCTAATAAAAGCAAAACTTTTGCTCTATGTATTTCTAATATAATGTTCTGATGATACAGTACTGAGATAAAAAACATCCGTAACTAGGAAAAAATCTCACCAAATGAATATTTAAATTTGTTTTCCATCCAAAATACAAAAAAAATCTATGCATCCTTAACTGATGTTGATAGAACGACCTCATGGTCGTGGACTTTCCGGAACGGAGGGTTATTTTGGGCCTATTTATCCAGTTTATCACTTTGTGTTGATTCAAAAAAAAAAAGTATGCAGCTATTGATCTGCTTGTACTGTAATTTCAACGGATGAACAAAACCCAGCTTTTACAATAACTGGATCGATAATATTTTGCAGTAACTGGCTTTATGATAGCGTCTCCTGAAAATTACTTTCCCCCAGTTTTATATTCCTGATATAGTTTTTAAACAAGACAGTGATTTTTTTTTTTTTTGCTTTCATGTATCTTTAAATGCAACATTTTTTTTTCACAGTGCCCAAAGATTACTTTCAGGTCCAATTCATGCTTGTGTTATACAGAATGATCAATGATCAAAGAGTATTGCATTATATTACATGTATTTTATTTAACTGGCCCTACAGTCCAAAACAACGTACAACAGCCAGTCCCTGGAGCAGCTGGGGCCGGGTTAGGGCTTTGCTCAAAGGCTCAGCGGCGATATGGTTATTCTGCTTTGGGATTTAACCCTTTAACGTTCCAGACGTGGGCATGGATCCCAAACCCCCAGTGTCATGTATACTAGATATGGATGAAAATATGTTAATTCTGGATTTAGATAATGACTAATGTGAATACAAAGGCTCAGTGGCGATATGGTTATTCTGCCTTGGGATTTAACCCTTTAACGTTCCAGACGTGGGCATGGATCCCAAACCCCCAGTGTCATGTATACCAGATATGGATGAAAATATGTTAATTCTGGATTTAGATAATGACTAATGTGAATAGTACGCATATGTCACCAAGAGAGTTATCCATTTCATGCAGGAATTGTTTTAAAATGAATAACCCTGGGATTGTTACATCTGTTTGAAAGTTAGAGAAGCTTACACAAGGATTCTCCTTAACTTTTACTCTTGTGTGACGAGGAAGGAATGTCAGTCTCTGGAGAAAGAGCAGGTTATCTAAGCTTTGCATATCAATTAGCGTCTCTTGTCTCATTGCTCCTTGCGCAGTTTGAATATTTTGAAATGTTTGGTTCTTCGCCCCCTAGTGACCAAATGCACGGCGTCACACGTCAGGTTGGGAGCTTGAGGCCGTGTTGTTAGTCCTTAAAGTTGTGATGTCATAGTCTTGTAATCAAGCATCCGCTGTAACATACATGTAATACCTAAATGCTGACCAACACAGGGAGTAGCTCAGTCTGTAGCATCACCATTAACACAGTGATTAGACAAAGTGTGCAAAATCAGATCTCTCTCATCCACATCTGCGTGCCTTTTCTAACAACGCTTCTTCTCTTAAAGGGGCAGAACTCTCACTGCTAGTAAGCATGCATGACATCGTTACGCATCACAGCGCAATTCGTCTCGGCTGCCATTTATTTAGTCTAACGGGTTGCCACCAAAATTTCCGTTTTGTTACTGTGAGAGTTTATTGTGTCCTCTCTCCCCCATCCCTGCATTATACCCAGCTAACCCTAAAGCTGATTCATATTTCTGCGTAGAATCTACACTGCAGGTAGCCGCGTAAACTACACTGCTGTCTGATGCCTGTAGTAACTTTCGGGGGGGGGGGTCCGCATCTGGCTACGCATCGGGGAACATGGCCGTCTACGGTGTAGGTCCTAAAAATAAATCACCCTTAAGAAGGACACTTTCCTCAGATCAAGATCCCTTTTCCCTGCCTTACCCCAAATTATATGGATCATTGCACCATCCCAAACAGAAACTGTTTCAAATCCTGCAATAAGCTATTGAGTAAATATATAATTCTTCCACTTTTAGGTTGTATGAGTGACCTTGAATCTGTTATTGTCTTTCATAACATTTATATTGTATTTATTCCAACTGTTTTCGGAATAATGTGTCCCTTTTTCTGTTTTCAGGTTTATTGTAATGGCATTGTGAAAAACATACTCATTTTTTTGAGTAAATCCCATCAGATTGATGTGAGTCAGGTTTTTTTTTTTTTTTACGGATGGATTTTTCAGAACGCTGCGGCAGATTGTGGAATGAAGGTTTCCACAAGGCTGAGATTAACATGGCATACACTGAGGTTTAAAGAAATGCAAATCACAGCAAACTAAAAAGCCAAACACTCGACATAGATACAGCCATCATGAAAGCATTCCTCAACATTCATCTGCTCCTGAATTCACCGAGTTGAAGCCTACTGGGTAGCACCTAACTACGGCCAATAGGACACCATTTTCGGGGTTCCCTGTGCCCTGCTGTGTTACTGAGTGAAATAAGGTGACCATGGGATGTGCAAGGGTTAGACACCTGCCCATGGATAAGAAAAGGATGTGAAGTGAGCTTCGGTGATGGTGTTTGGTTTTGGTTGGGAATGGGGGGCGTGCACGGAGGATGGAGGACTAGATGTGAACCACGACATTTGTTCCAGCCGTCTGTTTCTGACGGCTCAGGAGGGCTGCGTCTTGACATTCGTCATCCCATCTGTCATGGCGACACATGGGCCTATGCGGCTCCGTGCCGTTAAACTGGGTTCGCTCAAATACCAGAGCTGTCTGCCTCGCCGCTATCACACATCAGACGCCCCCCGCGGCCTCTTTGGATTTCAAGCACTTTTTCAAAAGTGACGGCGTCCTGTTTTTTTTTTTTTGTAGCGCTGCGTCAGGTTTTTCCCGGTCATTAAGCGCACTGGCTAATGGACAGACAAGCCGATGGTTTAAGCTTTCCGGAAGGGAACTATTGGCAGCAGTTCTAAGTTTGTTTATTCTCTTGACAGTCGAGTTTTAACTTCAACTCCGTGTCATATTTACAAATTCAGCTGAGGTGTATTTAAGTGTAATCAGCTGTTAAAAGTAGCAGAGTCCTCCCTCAGTTCAGATGCAGACATGCCCTGATTCTCTCTCTCTCACTCTTTCCTGATAAAGGGCAACAGAGTGAACTGGTTGAGTTGAAGCGAATTTCAGTAGGGGGAAATCCATAAGGCTTTTGTCAGGAAATCTATTACAGGCCTCGGTAGTTTCTGGAACGACAGAGGCAGAATGGGGGGTGAGGTGGGAGCATTCAGGGGGTGGGGGGGCTTGGATAATGGTTTTTACGGGGACTGACATGGCTAGTATGACCACACTCACACACACACACACCGATGATTCTATGCTCTGGCAGCAGGTGAATGAGTTTTAAATACCGTCCATGCCAGGGTAATAAATCAATCAGCCCTGACAATAAATATCTATTAATTTGTATTTAAAGGCGCCCGATTATGCTCATTTTCACTTTTCATAATATTTTGTTTTGACTAGAAGAGATTTAAATGCTAGTGTGCCAAAAACACATTATTTTCTCATACTGTTTCTATTCACCCTCTGTCTGAAACACTTAGCGCTTTAAACCCCACCTCCTGAAATCAAATGTGCTTTGATTGGTCAGTTTTCCTGATTAGTCAGCTTGCCTGATTGGTCAGCTTGCCTGATTGGTCAGTTTTCCTGATTAGTCAGCTTGCCTGATTGGTCAGCAATCCTGATTGGTCAGCTTGCCTGATTGGTCGGCTTGTCTTACACGCGGTCTGCAGACAGATCTTCGCAGATAGGTGGCCATGGGTGTCGCTAAACCCCAGTATTTATGTGCTGTGCCCCAGTAAAATCTCACGTTCAAACCATATGGGTAATGGGGGGTAGAGGTCCAGTGCCCCAGTAGACCTATTTACCTAGCAGCGCCTTGTAAGTTGCCAATAAGGATTGTGTTATGAGGTGACTTCACCATGTCACGGAAATAAGGGCTGGAATTCCAGCGAGTTGTCTCAGGCAGGGGTTTCTGAGGGGGCGGTTCACTGGTGCAGTGGTTAGCACTGTTGCCTCCCACCTCTGGGACCTGGGTTTGAGTGTCGCCTATGGCTCCATGTGTGTGGAGTTTGCAGTCCAAAAAACATGCTGCGTCTGATTGGAGTTACCAGTGTGTGAGTGTGACTTGCAATGGGTTGGCCCCCCATCCTGGGTTGGCCCCCCATCCTGGGTTGCTCCCTCCCTTGTGGCCATAGGTTCTAGACCCCTACAACCCTGAATAGGACAAATGGATGGATGGTTTCTGTTGTGACAGTTACTCCCTTTGGCATGTGCTCTGTGCCTTTCAATCTTGCAGACTGTTTACATGCACATAAAGCTATATAACACACTAGCGGAAAGAGAAAAGCATAACAGGGGCCCTTTAAGTTACCCTCTATATAGGAATGTGCTCTGGTTTTAATTCTTTATCTTGGACCTGGAATTCATCTGTCATCCATGGGATCCACATCCTCTCTATCCTGTTGACATGATGCTTCTCATTCTCAGCTGAAGACCACCCATGTGGGACCTATTCCTGCCTCCATGGGGGAAGATGCCGAATTGAGGGGGGGGGATACCACTGCGACTGCCCCCAGGGCTTCTCGGGAGAGAGCTGCGAAATCGGTGAGCGAAGCGAGTAGGTAAAGGATCATTCTAAAAGCTCAGATCATTGGGCTTTACTGCTCTTCAGTTAATTCACAGAATTCAGTTCACTTCCTGTTTGATTTATTGACCATCTTCCAATGTTTACTTTGTGGAATCCAATGTGAACCAGTCACCTTCAATCCAGTCAGGTTAGTTTGTTCCCTGTTAAAGTTTTATAAACTTGAGCTCATCAAGATTATGTTTGAGTCCGTCCAGATTTCACACAAGTGACCAATCAGAAGGGTCTCAGATGTGAGATTTGTTTATCAAAGAAAACATTAGAGGTCCAAAGTCAAGGGCCCCATCATACAAAAGACAAGATGTCAGAGATGTGTGGCAGACACTAACAATTGGATATTTTACAAATCCTCCAGCTTACAAAACAAAAACTACTATACCTGTACCATCTTCTGTTGATTGTAGACTATCGACATAAGGTATCCATATAGGAAAGAGAAGAACAGATGGTGCACTTTAACTCTCTCAGTGGTGACTCCTTGGTTAACTCTCAGAACCTCTTTTGTGGAGCCGTCAGTTTCAGCCATTGTTTTCTAAAGGGAATTTCCATTAACATAGTACTTGCCACATAGATCAAGGTTTTTCAAACCGGTCCTGGTTTTTTGTGGACTGTTTGGTAGGGAGCTGGGAGGGAGCAAAACTGTGGGCCATCTGGGGGTCCCGGGGACCAGGTTGAGAAACACTGATATAGGTGGTAGGTCTTCCATAAGGTGGTAGGTCTTCCATACGGTGGTAGGTCTTCCGTAAGGTGGTAGGTCTTCCATACGGTGGTAGGTCTTCCGTAAGGTGGTAGGTCTTCCATACGGTGGTAGGTCTTCCATACGGTGGTAGGTCTTCCGTAAGGTGGTGTGTGAGGTACAGAGGATTTCTGAACACAAAGAAAAGTGTCCTTTGTGCTGATCGTTACAGATATAAACAAAAATGAAAACCAAGTGTGGCTGCATTTCCTGTATCCCCTGTATCTCTGTATCTGTATCTTTGAGCTGTAGGGTTGGGGAGGGGCCTGGGCAGGGGGGGGGGGCTTTCAGCCAAGGCCAGCTTAGTACTTGGGGAGCCTGCTGATAACTGGCCAATTAAACTCCTTTAAATTGCCTGGCGAGTTTGGCATCAGCCGCTGATAAGTCGCCTGGCCAGCAGACTCCGATAGCTCATACATACACATCTGGGAACTGATCTCACCAGAGATGTGCGGACCTCTGATATACCCGGGAACTTTCTGGACAATCACGCTTACAGAGTGTGTGACTTTACCCCAGTTTTGTGACTGACGTTTACTTGACCAGAGACAACATATAAAATCCTCCCCACCCTGTAACGATTCCTGTCGGCTTGTTGGGCGAGGTGCTCATTCTGTTCCGTAGGACAGGGAAACATTACATATATATATTGCCTGAAATGTAGAATCGGGATACATGTGGCTCAGCCTTATCCTCACCCATGACAGGACATGCAACAGTTAATGGTGAAAAAAAATTTTGCATCTGGCAGATGCAGACTGCGGGGTGGTGATAAGGTAAGTGGTTCACTCTCGCTTCCTCCTCAGCGCGCTCATCCTGCCGGCTGTTATCTCGGAGGGTCAGTGGCGGCTGCTCAGGGCTCAAAACGCTGACCGCCCCCCCCCCCGTCGCCCTACTCTCACACAAACATACACGCGCACATGCACGCGTACGCCCGTCACACATGGTTCGCGCTCACACACTTGCACATCTGCACACTTATACACAGGCAGCCCTGGATTGGCTAATGTTTGTTATGGTGAGTCCATTTCGCTGCTCCTTCTTTCTGCCTAAAGCCAGCACACGCTGCACAGATAGCCTGCCGGGGGGGGGGGGGGGGACCGGCAACAGACAGCACTGGAACCATAAGCCAGTGGTTCTTCTGGTTGATGTCACTGTTGGCTTCCTAGGCTAGTGATTCCTAATCCGGTCCTCGGGAACCCACAGATGGTCTATGTTTTTGCTCCCTCTCAGCTCCAGAGATGTTTACTGTTTGGGCTGAGCTGGGAGGGAGCAAAAACATGGACCATCTGTGGGTTCCTGGAGACCAGGTTGGGAAACACTCTCCAAGGATGCTCTACATACCGACTTACAGCTACGGAGAGCAAGGGGCCGGAAACCATTGAGATGTACTAAAGTTAGCCGGATGGTAGTTGTGAGAAGTATAGTTTGGATGGAGTAACGTGAGTTTAATGGCGTGTTGCATTGGTGCTGAAATGATTTGAGTGAAAGGGTTTATTTTAGGTACAGTTCCAGTGTGGGTGGAATTTGAGTGCAGGGTGTGTAGGTTGGGTGTAGGCTGATCATAACGTAAGTCACACTGAAGACCTGGAAGGCCAAGCAACGCCAGCACAGAATCCCCCCCGATTTCTCCAGAGGAACAGAAAATAACAAGATGTGAACCTGCTTGAACACAGCCCTGGAGGTGTGACACACTCAGACGTGCATGCCTCACCTTGTTAGCTTCCCATGTTTCGCGATCAGCCCCAGCACTACTGCTGTAACTCCTGGTCCGACCCCATCGCACATCCTGCAGACCATCACTGTCTCTCAGTAAACAAGTAATTACCGCTGTCAGCCGAACACACGACTGTGCATCATTAACACTGGAACCTGGAAAGCGGTACAGTCTGCCACACGCTGTTACCGCCGCTATGGCAAAGCCTCTCACTTCTCCAGGAGGCATCCATAGGTTTCTTCAGCAGCTGAGCAGTTTGTTTTAATCTGATGTATCTGTGTGATTTTGAGAGGTAGATTAAGGGAGTATCAGTCTTTTAGGAAAAAAATAGGTTCACCGTGTATCTTTACGTTCGTCACATAGCAGTAGAGTAAGAGTTTTATCTCCTTCCTGACCTGTAATTCGGCCTTGTTTTCCTAGCCGGCAGGAAGCTGTGCTTCCTGTGTCATGACCTCTGTTAGCTGTGGCCAGTGCTTAATTTGTAAGCTCCAAGGTGCCGGGACTCATAAAAACCACGATGACATCATACACGCAGATCGGTCTTTAAAGACGATAATGCGCTATTAATATTTTCTATTCACACCTGTTAGTTACGTCAAGCTTCTCATCTGCTTTGCACTGCTCTTGCTCCTTTTTGCGCTCCTTCTTATTAGCATTAGCATCCAGAAACGCTACTCCTCTCCTCGCTGCCTCTGCTTATTCTCATTAGCATTAACGTTAGCATTAGCATCCAGAAACGCTACTCCTCTCCTCTCTCTCTCTGCTTGTGCTTCCATTAGGTTTTCGGCTTCACTTCTGATCTGCTTGGGTTCCGGCGTCTCTGTGCAGCCTTGCCAAAATACTGGTTTGTTTTTTTTGGCATTTTCTTCTAATTATTTTGCTGTAGCAACCTGGCATCTAACCTCACCTATTTTAGTGGCCAAAAAGTAGATTTTTCTGCCACACGCGTGATGCAGTTTTTTTCCTTTTCAAATTAAAAGTCAGAAAAACAAGACATACTCATTTTGGCAGACGTATGCCAATCAGCAAAAATCATACAACACAAATGATTTCATAAATAAAGATCTGTCTATTTAAATTAGCATTTTTTCAAATTAAGTTTAATTATATTGGGTGGATTACAGTGGCAGAGGAGCAGACTGCTCAGAGTGAGAGGTCTCAGAGCTGAGCTTAACGTAATGCTAAGGGGGTCCAGAGCCTATTCTGGAGACTGTGGGCACAAGGCAGGGAACAATGCAGGCCGGGGAGCCACCCCGTCGCAGGGCACAGTCACACACCAGTCACTCACACCCATGGTCAACTTGGTGCCTCCAATTAGCATAAGTATGTTTATGGACTTCGGGGGAAACCAGAGCTCCCAGAGGAAACCCCACGACGACACGGGGAGAACACAGATGGAGCCATAACAGAGGCTCAAACCCTGGTCCATGAGGTGTCACCCCCCAGGCCTGTCACAAATATTAAATTGGAATATCCTGTAAAAGAAGTTAGTCTTATTTAGTTTTATTTATAGCTAGATGGTTTTCTATACTCACTAAACTTATTAAATTATAAACTAAATGTTTATAATGTGCTTTTATGAAAAAAAAAAAAATCACCAGGAGACATTGCTATTCCAGTATATATTCCAGGATGTGGCACCCCCCCCCCCCCCCACACACACACACACACACACACACACCTCACACGACATGCAGATCATCAAAGTACAACACTGTCACTATAACAGCGCAATAACAAAACCAGACACAGAACAGCAAAGGCACTACAAAACATCACCTGAACATAAAAGAACCGTAAGATAAAACTAATAAAGAACGCAAAGGACAAATAAACCAACCATTATGCTCACGATGCCGCCGTAAAGCATGCTGGGATGCATACAGGCTCTCCTGGGATGACACACCTTTTTTTTCTCTTTTCACTGGGTTTTCTGCAGTCTCATTGTCGCCAGCTGCCTGATATATTCATAGCTGTCTTCTGTAAATCAGTATTTCTTGCAAACATAACAGGCACACATTGTACTATTTATACTAAAAAACATTCGTTCTATTTATTACTTTTGGCACAGAGTTCTGCCCCTTTAGGACGACTGTAGGATCCTGCATGCTTGCCCATGTCATCCCAGTCAGTTTGTCTCCTTTGGCAGGACAGACCCCCCCCCCTCCCCTGAGCCATTTCGATGACCCAGTCAACACCGACATGACACATCCGTCCTGGAAACATCTCTATTTATTTCCCACATGTTAAATATAGATGGCAAACAACAGCTCAGACTTTGAAGAGCATCTGCGGGGCTGATCTGCAACCATTCATGTTCTCAGGCAGGAGAGCTTTACCGTATCGCTACCCTCTACATGCTGCTGCTGGTCACACAACACAGACTTTATTGGGTTTTCATACAGAAACTAAATGCGTGCTGCTTTCTTTGAATGCCGAGAGTGGAGACGCGTGGAGTGTTTATTGGGTCAGCTGGATATTTACTGGAACAATTTAGGGTAAGTCACTGTCTCAGTTGTCAGAAGCGTCTTTCCTCCGGTGATTTGCCACGAGAACAAATCCGTACCTCATTCCTTGCCTGCTGCCTGTGATGTGAGGAAACAGCTTTGGAAACGGCCTAGAATGCTGAGAGCTCAGTTTCAGTTCACTGGGGACTCCTGTAGCTGAGGAGTGATGTCACCACCCTGCAAGACACTCCCCCATACCTGTCCTGCAGTCTATAGCATTTTACCATATGTTTCCTTCAACCCAAGCAGCTGTCAGCTTTCGATCTTTCCAGACCTCAGAGAGGCTAAATGTGGGAGCACTTTTATCGGTCTTGACAGTCACAAACGGCAGAATGCGTTTGCCATGCTGTAGGGCTGTCCTGTAGCAGCTGGTACACGTTTGACAGGAGCCGGTGAGAATTTTTAGTATTTAAGCACGTCCAGTCATCCTCCTAAGAACAATAAAACAAAACAAACAAATCAACAAACAAAAAAATGTACCCAGGGTCATTGGCGCTAATTTTCCAGCAGGGAGGCTGGGATTCCTTCGGATCAGGCATATGCTGTGGCCACCTGCCCATCTGGGGATGTTGAAATGGTCTCTCACAACTTCAGCTTGACCCCAGTTTCCTGCCACCAGACTCGAAATCATTGTTATCGATAAGACTGTCAAATAACTGCATCATTGTTTTTTTTCTAGACGGTTCTTTCAAATCCCAAATGATTGAAAGCAATTTGAGGTGTCCCCATTTAAGTTCAGTGCCTCAGTTGTGGGCAGAGCTGAGAATGTTGCTACTTTCCTTTGCTGACCTCCTGGAATATTGCAGAAAGTGGATTTGAGGACGGGTTTAAAGCGCCTGTCTGAAATGAAAACTCAGCCTGGTAAAGACACTGAGGTAGGGGCCAGCTCAGCTTAGAAATCGATCTGTAAGGGAACAGACGTCTTAACCACGATCTCTGCTGCCCAAGGCGCTGATGCTTGTCTTTCACACTTTTTTTCTGACTTGTGTCAGGGGGTGATGCTTTAATTCAGCTGGACTGGAAATTTGAGAGGAGTAAAATCTTCAGACACTCCAAAGATCAATCTCTGCTGTGATCCTAAATCCTCCCAAGTCCTCTGTGTCAGCATCTAGATATGCCAGTCTAACACGGTCCTCATGCTTGCTGTCTCCCGCCGCCTTCTGTTTCAGCACTGTGAAAGAACCTTGAGCCTCCCAAGGACTGCAATTCTCCTCCTTTAAAAAGCCGTAACATCACACACTCAGATTCCCCACAGTTACAGCAGTTGTCGAAATCACCCCCAATTACCAAGTGCACTACATATATGCATTTGCCATTCTGTAGGGCTGTTCGAATTCTCAATGGAAAATCTGACTCACTGCATAGTGCATTATTAATGCCCATAAAGCACTGCACAATGTCGTGTACAAACGATGGTCACCGCGATGCTCTATGCATACCGTAATGCAATACAAAGGTCACTACTTTTGCCAACTGATTGCTTATAATACAAATGATAATTTTGTATAGTCATAAGCACATTAGAAAAATATAAAGTAACTTATAACGATATTAATGCCTACAAAGACTGAAGTTGACATTTCAATTTTAAATGACAATTGTATAATAATAATAATAATAATTTAAAGTGGTAATTTAAAATAAATCACAGGCTTAAACATTCATATTCACCTTATCTCCTTTATTCCATTTGTGCTGTGGTTGTATTCTGCTATTCACAAATGTCAGCTGTTAAAGGTTGCTAGGGTATTAGCTTAGAGCATCTTGGAATGTAAGGCACTGAAACTGTATCACTAATCCCCTGTATAGTGAACTGCACAGATTTTCCTATATAAGAGTGATCGAGTGAACAAGTGAGCTATTTTGAATAAAACTACCTTATGCCAAAAAAACCCACCAGAGCCTTCCAGTGTGTTTTGACAGCAAGGGATTCTGGGATTTAAACAGGCCCTTTAATTGATTATGCCTGTAGGTCTAGTCCAAGCTAGTTAGAATCTGTGTTGAGCTGAAGTGAATGTATGACTTATTAAAAGGGAGATGGGGCTCCTTGTAGCCCCACTGCACCAGACCTGCAGACAGCTTGCAATGGGCCTGAGTGCTTAATACACCGCGCTAAAGTGTTTGATGGCATTCACCTAATAGTCAGACACTTCACTGAGTCCTTCTTTTGCTGTGTTTGCTTTAAGCTCTGCCTCTCTGCCTTTGCTTCAAGCACTTCCCCTCTGTGTTTAAGCCCTACCTCTCTCTATTTTCTTTAAACTTCCCCTGATCCCTGTATTTGTTCCAAGCCCCCCTTTGAAATTGATTGCCACGTCCCCATGCTGTGTTTCCTTCATCCTCCTCTTCTATATTTCATTTTAGTTGCTGCTCTGTGCTGTTTATCAAGCTCCTCCTTCCTGTCTGTCCGGGCTCAGTTTCTGAGGCTGCATTTTTAGCACGAGCGTGTGTCATTTCAGCAGTCAGAACCAGCTGGGTGAACCTTTCAGCTAAATCCCTTAATTAACCAATCAATCGGCTAATTGGGATTTTCCTTAAGGGCTTAGATTTCATCAGGAGATACAATTACTGGTGTAATGTCTTTAATTAGATGAGCAAATATGTACCCGGGGAGAGCTGTCCATCCTGACTAGGCTTGTACTTCTGCAGACATCGATGACTGCAGTTCGCATCCGTGTCAAAACGGGGGGACGTGCATCGACAAAGTGGACTCCTTCGTTTGCCTGTGCCTACCCAGCTATGGCGGAGCCACCTGTGACAGAGGTAAGGCGTGGAGGGAGACCCCCACCCATGGAAACCCAGTTTTAGTCAGATGTTCTGCTTTGCTAACCACTGAGCCCATAGTCAGGTTGCTGTGAATGACCAGAGACTGTGCAGAGACAGCACTGCATAACAAACTGCATCCCACAGAAACTCATCCTAATTGGCCGGCCGAAGTACGGCATTACGGCTCAGTGTGAATCCTGACCTTCGAAATGAGGGAAAAAAAAACCTTTCAGATGAATCACGTCTAGAGATGGCCTCGTTCAGTGACCCTCAAAACTTCATGCTGAGGAGAGTACAGAAAATCAACCCACTTGTACAATAATAATTGACAAACCAAAGTCTTTTATGACCAACATTTATGACACAGTCTATAATAGTAATAATTATGAAATATTATTATACTTGTATTCCACATACATTGTATTACTCCCAAAACTTCAGTGTGAAGGTATCATTATAACTTTTATGTTTTTGTTGAATAGCATAACAAAGCCCCACTTCCAAGGAATTCCTTGCCCATGAGTATTATGTTGCCTGGGAGGACTCCAACCGCCGCCCCCCCCACCCGCCTTCCCCATAACCTTGACCAGGATAAATAGTTAGAAGACGGATGGATTATAGTATAAGCCATGATCTCAAATGATCCTCATAGTCTAGGCTGAGGTCAAGGATTCACTGATGTTCCTACCAGAATCAGAACAGACATTCATTCATTACAGTGATGTGCATTTTGCAATATGGACAAATGGTTCCCTGGGTTTATTCGAATCTGTAGTGTGTGGTTGACGGCTTTAGTGCTGTGATTAATCCATACTTTGTGCCTCCTCCTCTTGGACGTTCTGCCATACTTCCCATGGTAGACTCTATCAGAGTCAGCCGGGTTCCCCGGCGCGGACTGTCAAATCACAGCGGCTGGGGTTGGAGACAAAGCCGGAAAATCAAATGCTATCAGCTGTGTCTTCTGCTGCTTGCCTCCTCTTTGTCAAACAGCCCTGAAAGCTCACTGAGAAACACATCCGGCACGTCAGTGTCACCCCGGAGACAGGCGTAGGATGTGACACCCGTTTTTGTCAGTAAATTCATGCACACGATTGGTTGCAGCTGTGACAGGTGAACGTGTTCCCTTCAGCAGATACGTCTTCGCTAGTATCTTCCCCCAGCGCTGCTGCACATTTCCCTGCTGAACATTTCCCTGCTGAACATCCCAATGCTGCCATTTATCAGTTAAACTCACACCTCACTCTTCACTGATCTCTGAACGGGACCCAGCACTAGCAGTTAGCATCTGGCTAACTAACCATCACTTTTTATTAATCTTTATTAGTCTTTTGTCGAACCATCTTGTTCCACGTGTAATCACGCTAAACAATCCTTTGCATAAATATTTTGTGCCTCATTTCACCCGTAATAAAGTTTCGAGCATGATTTCCGAAGCTGTACTGAACACCGTGTGGCGTGTTGTAATTTTAGAAAAAGTCGGCATTGTGTTGTAGGGCGCCTTAATATACAGTAATGCTTCAGCATGCTGCTAACGCAAGCTTGCGGATAATTTTGTGCAGGTCTCAGCACTGTGCGGCAGTAAAGCACTACATCAGCACGGAAAACCGCCTTTGAGGCCAAGAGAACGCCTGCTTTTCATGGTCAAGACAACGTGGAAATATATGTTAACCATTTAAACTGATAATGATTGTAATAATACTGACACATATCCTCTTCAAAATTTGTGCGATTTTTTGAAAGAAGATCTGACTGCTTTGATATTGACATTTTGGTCCTAGATGGGTAAATCGGTTTGTTTTTTCATTAGATAGTAAGGGTCTGTTAAAATACATTACGTAATAATACAGCATTATGGAATAACTCGACAGAATGTAACAAATTTTCAGCACATAATGCAGTGTTATTACATAATGGATTGTTACACACCATGTAACAACGCATTATGTAATAACACTATATTATGTAATAACTCGACAAAATGTTACAAATTTATAGAGTACATTGTAATTTTATATTGCAACATTACCCTGCAACATTATCATCATTATCATTGTTAATATTATCATCATTCAATTTGTTACATTCTGTCGAGTTATTACATACTGCAACATTATTACATAATGCGTTATTACCGGGTCTGTCTTTAATCAGGAGTCTGTACATAAAGCATCTTGACTTGCAGCTAATCTTGATCCCCTACGGCATTTGTTTTCTTCACATTTTCCAGTGATGGAACTTGACAGTCCTCATACCGAAGATGCTTTGAATGTGGCATATCGTAAACAGAGCCTCATCTCTCAGGTTCGCGTGCGGCGTTAATTTTTGCAAGTTTCTTATATACGTCAACAGCAATCTGTTTCGTGTCAAGCGAAGAGCTGCCGTAAGCTACCACGGAAGTGTGACTACGATCACACTGGCATGTGTCCTACCAGCAGCGGTCCCTTGGCTTAAATAAATGAGGTAAATCAACCTCATGCAGATACTCAACCAGGAAAGGTGTTTGAAAAGAAGAGTATTGGTTTAAAACAGTCTTTTCATTGCCTTGGTACCCAGGGCACAGTAAAAGTTATTGAGGACAAACTGTATTGTTCATCTCTTTTCTACTGCAGAGTCAGAAATTTAGCTATAACACTTTGGAGGCAAAAATGAGCTGCTGTTTTCTCATTAGTACTTGCAGCACTGAACTGCTGCAAACGGATACCTGCGTGTGGTTTATAAATATCACGGAGCAAATCCGCGCAGATTCCTGGATATACTGCAGCATGGATTTGGGCCGGGCAAGACGGATAATAACTGACTGGCATATCCTCTCCTGCTCCTGTATTCCCCAGACACCGTGTCTGTTGGCACCAGGCTGTCTGTTGGAGTTTATTCATTTTCTGGAGAGAATGAGTCCGTAAGGCTGCTGGGCTTGACGCAGAGCTGACAGAAGGTGTAACAAGGTCGACATAGAATTGCATACAAAATGGGAACCAACGATACCAACATTAAAAATACATGAGAGGAAGGAGACCTTCCTAATAATGACCTCTCCCAGGATGGTGTGGGACAGATTGTCCCTCCATGGCTCCTGTAATGCAGCAGCAGATCTCAGAACTACGGAAGGTTGTGGCCGCAATCAGTACGGAGGTGAAAGCAGCAGCCTGATCTGTGTGTCTCATTTCTTACACGGTGCTTTAGATTTGTATTACAGGTTAAGAAATATATTTGAAAAAGGTTTCCGTTATCTTCTTCGGGCTGGAAGGTTTTCGGCCTGCGCCAGTGAGAGTGGAACAGAGATCAGAGGCTCTCTGTCCTCCTCCGGGTGACAGGGGACCAGAGGGTCTGCTTTGCTGTACACAGTTTTGAAGGTTCTACTGCACTGCATCAATCTGTGTAGTGTTGCACCACTAAGGGATCTTTTTCCCAAAATATCTGATGACAGAGATGGGGGAGAAGTGGGACAGATGGGGAGAAACTGGAAAAAAAAGAGGGTGGTGTAGGCTGTGGCAGAGCTCATACTGCGCCGCCTGATTATCGCTGGGCAATGTCACGCCCCCCTTGTTCCGCATCCACCTTGGAACGGTCAGCAAACCCTTTTTCTGGTACCATGACAGACACCGAGAGCTGTGAGCTCGGCTGGAGGAAATTCCACGGCCACTGCTACAGGTTCTTCCCCCACCGGCACACTTGGGAGAATGCTGAGAAGGACTGCCGGGACCACAGCGCCCACCTGGCCAGCGTCCGCAACGCTGCTGAGCAGGACTTCCTCTCCGGTTCGTACTCTGTCTCTATGAATCATGGGTATTGTGGGCCTGAGGAACGTAGCATAGCGTAGAATAGTTTAGCATAGCGTAGCATAATGTAGCATAAAATAGTGTAGCGTAGCATAGCATAGCGTAGAATAGTGTAGCATAGCATAGCATAATGTAGCATAAAATAGTGTAGCGTAGCATAGCTTAGCACAGCCCAGCTCGGCACATCACAGCATAAGACACAGCTATTCATCTGCTTCCTCTGGTCAGTCCTCACTAACTGTGAAGATGCAGGTTCCACCATGACTGCCTACACCCACTTTCTGCCAAAGCCTTGACTTTTCAATGCAAGAAAAAAAGGTAAAATCCCTCATTGCAAAAGTAGCAGCACATTCTGGAGGAGGAAGAAAGGGTTTAATTGCCTTGCAAATTGGTGTATCAACCCCAGGCTGTACAGTGCATAGTCTTTAAAGATTAATGTCCCCCATCACGGTCTGTGTCAGTAACGTGATTATTGAAATTCCATCACGCTGCACAGAAATCTCATTAGTGCTCCATGCTGTTAATCTGGCTGCCCTTGGCTTTACTCACCACCTGGGGATTCCAGATCACATAGGAGAGATCACTGGAAACACTTAAACCTGTTTAAGCAACAGCACCACCGGGATTAATGACAAGGCCATCCAGGTGGGCAGGCTTTATGGCTCACTAAATCAGCGAGAGGGCTTGACTTGGTTACGATTGGCTGGCAGCTTACTGTGGGACGTCAGGTGATGTCATAATATGTGACCACTTTACTCAGTGTGACTCTTCCAGGTCTAAGCCACGAGAACACCTGGATTGGTCTAAACGACCGCACAGTGGAGGAGGATTTCCAGTGGACTGACAGCATGGAGCTGGTGAGAGACTGTCTACCGTTTCCCATTTGTATGAAGCTGTACAATACTTTCTGCATGAAGGTAGCGAATGTGGTTACTGATATAGCACAATATCAGTTACACTTTTTTTCGGATATGAGAAGAGAGTTCTGTTCCGTTTTTCATCTAATCCTAAAAAAAATCTTCGACCTAAACGCCTTATACCTCCCAAAATGTTGTGGGTAGTGTGTGTCTGAGCGGGCCTCTGTGTTTGTGACGAGAAAGTCGCCGATTCGAACCCTCACATGTCCGTGGGCCCCTGAGCAAGGCCCCTAACCCCCGGTTCCAGGGGCCCAGCATGCTGGCTGACCCTGCGCTGTCACCAAGGCGTAACTTTGGGTTGAGCCTTGGAGGTGGTTTTGAGGTCTCCACCCATTTAAGGGGGTTGGGGGGGAAACATTGGCCAGGATTGATTATTGTGGGTTACACCCCCCCCTTCCCCCACAGCCCATAATATACACCCATGGCTGTGACCCCCAAGCTTGCTCTCACATGCATAAGTGTCTGTGTGTCACATGGAGGTAAACGAAAAGACAATTTCCCCATGGGGATTCATAAAGCATTGCTGTTCTCTTCTAAAAAGTGAGGTCAGCACATTCAACGCGTGATCCTTTGAATGGAGGAATTGCAGTAAAATTGTGATTAACCTCAGATCTGCTAAATGGACACGTTCTGATGCTATAATAGGAATTTGAGAACTGGAGGGAGAACCAGCCTGACAATTTCTTTGCGGGTGGTGAGGACTGCGTGGTGATGGTTGCCCATGAGAATGGCAAGTGGAATGATGTGCCCTGCAACTACAATCTACCCTACGTCTGCAAGAAAAGCACAGGTCAGTCACTTCTCTGTGTGTGCCTGCTGTTCACCTCCTGGTGGCTTAGGACACTGTTTCTCTATCCAGTCCTCGGGGCACCTCCAGACGGTCCACATTTTTGCTCCCTCCCAGCTCCCTGCCAGACTGCACATTTTTGCTCCCTACCAGCTCCCTGCCAGACAGTGCACATTTTTGCTCCCTCCCAGCTCCCTGCCAGACAGTGCACATTTTTGCTCCCTCCCAGCTCCCTGCCAGACAGTGCACATTTTTGCTTCTTCCCAGCTCCTGTTAGACCAAAAATATGGACCATCTGGGGGTCCCCAAGGACCAGGTTGAGAAGTACTGGTTTAGGAGTAAGATGAGGTATGTTCTGATGTATAATTGATGCAAAGTATATCACTGCGTTGTGTATAACAGTCAGGGCAGTGAATAGAACTGTGTGCCCATGGGATGGGAGAGAGCAAATGGGGACAGGTTTAATAAAACAGTGGAGGAAGTTAAACAGAGACAGTACAAAGGAAATACACTGGGAAACATTAGAATATTGGATCTTGGGTTTGGAGTCCACTGTGTTTTTTTTAAGGCCTGGGGACCCAAAAAGCAAACTGTTTTATATCAAAGAAGATAAAGGCATTCAGATTTTTTGATATTAGCGTTTTCTTCATAAGCGAGCACAGTTGAACCAAGATATTTTATCACATGATAAAACAGAGCCTAAGCTTGACAATACAGAGGGCAATTTTTTGAGCAATGTTGCTGTTGTTCCTCGGGCACTTTTCTATTGATATTGAGCAACAAATTGCTATTTGAAAAACTTTCTTTGGCAGTGGGCAACCTTTTGCGATCATCCTGATCCAGATGAGTTGCCCTTTCTCTCACCTGGTTGTCAGTTGCCTGGCAACATTGCTCAAAAAGTTGCCCGATGTATCATTACCTGAAGAGACCCGATTTAGTGTTTTGCCGTTGTATGGCAGTATATATTGCTTGTAGTATATATCTGCCGTGGATGCCTTGTGATTTATGTGCATAGCTAGTTTGTCTCTCTCAGCTCCATCACAAGCCAGCTGCGTACGTCAGGTCGCGGTCTGTTCATAGCCCAGCTCATCAAGCATGTCTCAACAAAGACATTTACATCTCCACAAACTTGCAAAAGGGCACAAAGTAATCAAGGCTTTGAATCACTGAGATGCTAGACTTTGTAATTTGGACATTGTTCTGTTTAGTTAGGCCCTCATACACTGCCCGTCCAAAAAAAAAGTCGCCATTTGAATTTTTTGTTGGGCTGCCTTTAGCTTTGATTATGGCGCACATTTATCATGGCATTGTTTCCACAAGCTTATGCAACATCTCATCCTTTATTTTCATCCAGATTTGCATTAATTTCTCACCAAGATCCTGTATTGACAAGTGAGTTGAACCTCCATAAAGCCTCCTTCATCACATCCCAAAGACCTTCAAGGAGGTTAAGGTCACAACTCTGTGGTGACCAAGTCACGCGTGAAAATGATTCCTCATGCTCTATGAACCACTCTTTGACAATTTGAACCCATTGAATCTTGGCATTCGTGTCCTGGAATATGCCCATGCCAACAGGGAAGAAAAAAATCCATTTATGATGGATGGAGGTGTAACCTGGCCATTCAGTAGATTCAGGTACTCAGCTGACTTTACTTTATTGCTGCATAACGTTGCAGGACTGTAATAATGATCTAGTCATTGGCTTTTAAGTATTTGTGGATATAAATTGAAATGGTGACCTTTTTTTGGATGGGCAGTGTATTTTTATTGTGAGCCAAATGGACTAGACAGAGGAACATCTTTGCTGAAGTTCTCTGAAGAGAAATAATAATAACAGCAGTCAAAGCTTAAAATAAAACTGTCTGGAAATTAAATAATGCGTAAAATCCTCATCCCACTTGATTCAGACCACATTGAATGGTATATAAATGATTGATAATATAGTTTCATCGACATGGTGGTCTGTGAATTAATATTTAATGTTAAATCTGTCTCATCATGCTTCTATCTCCGCAGTTCAACCAGAAGCATTTCCATGCCTTCCGACAGTCCCTGTTAATTCAAAAAGTCAGACCCAATATCCAACTGGTGTTTAAGGCACTGCTGCCCCATTTTTCTCTTGTAAAGCACAGATATACTCTCTCGTCCTTGGGGTCTAAAGCTTACATGGAAAGCCAGTTGTTATAATGGCTAAACAGCTAGACTTTCAGGTTAAGGAACTGTAACCTCTTTGATAACGTACAATACGGTACAGGACTGTACAAAAGTCACAGGCAAAGAAAATGTTTAATGCTAAATATCTGAAGAGTAAGTGTGTATTTTCTCAAAAAAAAAAAATACAGTTTAATATTAGAACATGTGAAAATTAACAGTAACACAAAAACTAACAAGACTTTTTGTTCTCCAAAAAGTCACTGATGTCTTCCTGGATGGCTAGATGAACACGGCTTCAGGTCCCAAACCTCTCCTCAGGGGCACCTCAGCCGTTCCATGTATTTGTTAAATTTCACCACCCGCTGACTTGAATGATTAATTTAATTGGTTAAAAATATCAATGAGGTATTGATTAGCCTGACAAAAATAATTAGTGCGTTGGTTGCTGTAAATACTGGAGTGATTTTAGTAGAGGTTTTGAAATAGCGAAGCTGACACACTTTACAGGCCTAATATCATAGTTTTACACCAGCATGATCAGTCAAACATAATTTTCTTTGTCTTCCTAAGACTTTTGCGTGGTGCTGTATATGCATCAGTGAGTGAACTTGTAAGCTGTGCGTCTCATTGTGATTGAAATCACCTGACAAAAAAAACGAAGTGTGTAAGCGGAACGCTGTGATTTATGAACAGCTGCGGAGCTGAACTTGTGCTCCTCTGTCCACCTGGCAGGGTTTTGTGGCCCGCCCCCTGCAGTGGAAAACGCCTTCCTGATTGGCCGGAAGCAGGAGCGTTATGACATCCATGCAGTGGTGCGCTACCAATGCTCGGCGGGCCTGGTGCAGCGCCACGCCCCGACGTCCAAATGCCGAGCCGGCGGGAAGTGGGAGCGACCCCGGATCATCTGCACGAGGGGTGAGTGACAGCCAGCTGCGATCCCAGCAATCCACAAGTTTAGCAAAAAAGCAAAAATCCCTTTAAGCTTAATCTATTTAACAGAATTACAGTAAGAAAGCTCACACCTTGAACTCTCACATTTTTGCTGCCTTTTTCCCAGAGGGCATCTATCTATGAGGCTGAGAATATTACAGAAGTAAATAGTCTTGGTAGCAACTGTCATGACATCCTTCATCACCTTCACTTTCTAAGAGATTCACTATCCCGCGGTTTTGGTCTCGCTATTTTAGTAGACGGAAACATAGAGCTGTGATCCCGGTTGACAGGACAGCAGAACAGCAGGATCATGTGGGCTTAGCGTAGGAGGCGACTTGTGTGGCACCGTTGTGTAGCTCATACAGAACGATTTACAGTAAAACCAGCTGGTTATTTGCCGATGCCTTTGTTTGGAGTGGTGTTCATTGCAGTGTGCCCTTGATAGTAACGTATCAGCCTCTGCGTGTATATAATTTGTGTATATACCTATGGTGTATAGTAATCAGAGTGCAAAACAATGGATGATGTATATATCACAGGTGGCTGGTCCACAGAGGTTGAAGAGGTCAAAAGAGCTCCTTTATTTTTAAGATTAAATTATGAAACAACTCAATTTGAAAATTACACATTACTGTAATTTTGTTGTTATTCACAAACACGTTTTCTCTCCTTTTTGGAAAAGTTCGCTATTGTAATACTGGAAAATGTATTATTATATATATAGAACCAATCAAAAGTTTGGACACACCTACCCATAGAAAAGTTTATTTGTACTATTCTCTACATTTTATAATAATTATAAAGACATCAAAACTATAAAATAACACGTATGGAATTATACACCGAACAAAACAACAAACAGTATTAAACAAAAAAAATCATTTGTTGGGGGGGGGCTCCGTGGGTTGGGATGCAAGAGGTTGCCGGTTCAAATCCCTGGGTTGGCAGTTTGATCCCACCATTAGGATCTTGAGCAAGACCATTAACCCTGATTGCTCCATGGACCGGCTGATCCTGCAGTCTCCTCTACTCCAGATCCATGAGGTGGCCTCCTGGGATGCTCTGCCAGCTGTCCTGAAGGAGGTCCCTCATATGCTGAGCTCTCATTGGCTGCCTTTGCTTCACTCTCTGGTCAAACTCCACCAAAACCATTCCTACCTAGGTCAGGTGACCAGGTCATGTGATGCGACACTATTACTCTCCTTTGTAGGCAGATTGGCGTGTCCAAACCTTTTGACTGGTACTGTATGTATGTCTATGTATGTGTGTACAGTATATATATGCATGTGTGGCTCTGACCAATCACCCTGCGGTCACCAGCTCGGCACTCCCACCGCCACCGCCGCCACCACCACAAAAACCGCCACGAGCGCCGGAAGCACCAGAAGCACCAACGGCATGGGGGCAGAGCCCACCGAGTGGGGGATGGAGGCCACGCCCACGACCACGCCCACATCCATGACCACACCCACGGCCACGCCCACATCTGAACCTAGCGTTCATTGCTGCCCCTCTCCTCCTTACGTCACCTGCCCCGTGGTCACCCCCAGCCATTGTCTCCGGGGATCGGACTCAGTTCCCCCCCAAGCCGAAGGTCGGCGGGCTGCCGTTCCATCGAACACGGATAACGAAATCCTTTCTTTCACATCTTCAGTTAAAATCCTTTTTATGTCTTAAGTCTTTGGTGAGATCTGCCTCACTTGTTATATCTAAAACATTTCTTGTATGTGGAAATACTGATTTTATGGGTTAAATGACTATTGTATTATTAATCAATGCAATGTGGTATGAAAATCAGGACTGAGAAAGCTTTTCTATTTACCTCACGTTAGAATTACAGTATTATGAAGTTTGATGTCTGAATGGGTGTTTTCCGCCAGAGAAGACCGATGTTAGAATGTTTTCTTTGTCTGTCTGTTTACTGAAGTAGCACATCATCCGCCATGTCATGCACCATGACTGTGGCACTCCACAATGATCATGGTTGGCAGTGATTTATATAAAAAGACTAATGGAGGGACCAGGTGTGACAGATTTTCCTCGCCTAGGTTCCTGTAAGTCCTGGCTGCTCTTCCTTCGTCCAACATCTCAGACACACCACACTCAACAGAGCTCTGTCCGGTTCCTCCACACCTGTGCATGTTGATTTGTAAATGTAATTATCCTGTAAAGCCCAGGGTAGAGACCCCCCCACACACACACACACACACACACACACACACACCTAGGCACCTGCACAGTAGCAATGCCGTCAGCTAATCGGGAGAGCTGTTAACATTGATTAACGCTAGCCTTCAACGCGACGCCCTGGCGCAGAGGAAGCTATTTGGACAATCTGTTCACTAACAGACTTTATTAATACAAAGTGCTAAGAGGCAATCGAGCCCATGGGCACTTCAGGTGGGATGTGCGACGGTATTTATGCGCCAATATCCTGACAGCAGTGTTGCTAGGCGACCCAGAGGTTTGTCCCTGGCAACCACACAACAAGCCTGTGCAATAAATCGAGGCGTAAATGGTCTGTCATGGTCACAATGATAACCCCCCCTCCCCCCCCCGTTCCAGCTGGGCAGGTCAGGACCAGATCGGAACAGAAGACCAAGATTCTCTTACCCTGAATATGGAACTGTTACTCGGAAAAAGTGTCAGATATATCTAGTGTTACTCTCGGCGAGTGTTGACGCTTTGTTCCTCGCTTTGTTCCTCTCTTTGTTGAGGTGCAGCAACGCAAGGTCTCAGCACAGTAGAGAAGCGTAACCCCCATATGGATTGACTGCTAGTGGGCTCTTCCCCCACACTGTCTACAGCACCAGCTTCAGCTCACTTTCCACAGGGAGAGACTGGAGAAGCACCATAACTGAGCTTCACAAAACAGATTTAGATTGTGTTGATTGGCTGCATTGGTACTGAAAGTTGTACGTGATGCTACACGCTAACTCGCAGGACACAGGGCAGTGCATTCTCTGCAGCTGTCCTGTCGCATTTCCTCTGAGTTTGTCTCTTCTTGCATCGTTACATCGCCTTTTTGGTTCTTTGTTCATCCTTCTTCAAAACCATTACAAAACACCGTCGCATTCAACGCAAATATTTCCCTGCGTGTGCGCGTATGCATAGTCACACTTGTGTGCATGTGCGTGTGATCTTAAAATAAGAACTGAAGCCTGTTTTACGTGGAAATTTTCTTTATAGCAAAGAGCACAGAGTCGTGCGTGGGTTTGATGTGTTGAAAGGAGGTATTTAAGGAGGAAAAAAGGACATTCACCCCTAGTAACCCTCAACCAAATGGAAAATATCTTATATTTTATGTGCTGTCATCAGCTTCCTGTATCTATTCTCATGTTGTGTTTATCGCTAAGAGTTTTATTCCCAAAATAAAGTTAACAAACACACAGGTATATGGAAAATGAAACAACAGATGAACAGTCAGGTTTCAAAACCAAGAATAAAGCTCCATAAAAACTCAACAATAAGGAAAGAAGCTCAAACTCAGCTCGACTCTATTGTTTTTGTGATTGTAAATACTCAGTGGTTTTGGGATATTATGGGATGTGGGATTAGGTTGGTCTTTTCCTCCCCAGTGCCCCCTGGGTCCACCCAGTACACAGTATGCTGGCACTCTGATCGGTTCATAAGCAAACATTCTACTTCCTTTCAGTTCGCCAGGAGCGATGTGAATGTTGGGTATATTAGGGGTGACCCGTCTCAATCTAGTCCCTAAGTATCGTTTCATGTTTCTTGATGTTCTTGTAAATTCATTTGCATTTATTCTGTCATGTTATTTATAAAGAGGAAAGAGTAAATCATTAAACTTTATAATTGGGTACATAACATGGAATTTGGGACTGTGCTGTCGTCCGCGTACGTGCACACACACGCACTCCTCAGCTTCTTGACTTCCTGAACGTCCGGGAAGCTAAACGCCTTGAGCCCACAAGCATCCCCGTCGTGCTCAGAGCGGAACACTGGAGCCAGACTGGCTCTCACTGGGTTTCCTGTTTCTCACACCCTCGTCGCTGCGATTGACAAGTACATGTGACCTGACTTTTCAGGTCTTAGGATTTTCCCTCCAAAACCGGGCCCCTTCCGCTGGGCCCCTTCCTCCAGCTGCTGTCTGCATTCGGCGGTGCTTTTGTCGCATTTGAGTTTTGTCTGGGGAAACAGGAGTGCTTTCATTTCTGCAGAATCTTGCCTGGAGTCAGGCCCTGGAATTGACATCCTGTCCCTCATCACCCCCCCCCCCACAAGTCTGCAGATGGCTGAGCGAACACAGTTACCATGAAATATATTAAACAGTCATCCATATCCTCCAAACTTATTTGCATTTTACGCTGTTTCAGTGGAAAGTCCGGAATTACAGACTTATTACACGTTTTAATTTTTCACAAATAACGTTCATGTTTCTCTGCTTGAAGCTGTCTTGTGTTCACTGAACATTATAATCTGTAATATTTTCCCATATGTTATTACCAGCTGCTTCAAAAAAGTGAGAGATAGGGAGGGAGGAAAACAATGTTAGTTTGTCTGAAATGTCACATTATGATGTGGAATGGTGAGTTTTCTGAACAATGTTGCCTCTTTGTTATTGCGGAATTACAGTAGTTCAAAGCCCCTCGTACTGCACTGCCTCTGTTAGATACAGCATTTACCTATCTAGGCTGGCCGTGTCACTCACTGATAAATGACACCGAACGAAATCCTTTGTCATGTGATGATCCTCTGTTTACTCAAAGGGATGAGCTCGCTGGATATGGTGCCATCCTATTTCATCTTCCCCCAAAAAGGTACTTAAATTCAATGAATATCGTTCTTCTACTTTTGAGCAGAAAGCGTCCCTGTCTGATGACCTCCCCCTCTCTCTTTTGTATGAAATCGCGGGGGGGGTGTGTGGTCTTGCTAGCACCTTGTTCCCGCCACTGAGCTCGATGGCGTTGCCTTAATGGCGGATGGGATGGCCCCCCCGTCTGCTCTCCATGCGTTGATGCCCCCCCCCAGGATGCAGTGAAGGTCTGTAGCTGTGCTCTGGTGTGATACAGCGAGACAGGATAAATGAGGCAATAACAAGCCTAAGTATGTGTTCAGCAGATTCTGTGTAAACAGTGCAGCAGAGCAGCGCCGTCGTCGCCGTATAGAATGCTGCATACAGTCCAAAGGCAACATAGAGGAAGGAGGCAGGTTCATTCGGGGGCAATTCGAGGATTTGACCATTAAGAGGGTTCAGCCCCCAGTAGGGTTGCCACTTTCAATCTGAAAAAATAGAGAAAGAGTCCCTGAGATGGGGGGCTACTGAATTGGTACATAAATGTATAAAAAAAAAATACAAAATACGGCCATACTAAAGTGCTAAATTGATTTAGAAAACTGTTTTTAGGGGGTTGATGCATAAAGCAGGATGGCTGGAACCCCCTTTAAACCGGATCTAGAATTGCCTGTGAGTCCACTGAAGGGCTTATAGTGACCTCCTGTTTATCACAGTCATGCATTATAAATCCACTTAGTCAAACATTTAAAGAGATGCAATTAATCCAAATTAGAATGTATTGCATAATTAATTCAGTTAGGCATCCCCCCGACATTGCAGATTGACTTCATGACCGGCATGTTTGTGCTGACCTGACATGTCACTGATTATGGCACTGGTTTCTTGTAGCTGAAATGCAGTGAAAACAGTTCCCATCCTATTCTGAAGGGAGATTTGATCCTGGTAAGATGGTTACCATGGAGACGACATGGTCACTTCTGTTGCACCATGCGAATCTTGGTTTATTAGTCTGCATTCAAAAGCTACATTCAAAACCTGTTAGTTGGCTATGAAATATTTGCAGAATGAGGTAGCTGAAGTGCATCAGAGCACTGAATGGTGCTCAGGATGTTCACTGACGCATTCAGTGTTTCTGGATACTTCTGCAGAGCAGACGATCATTTGTTTTCCTTCTACGATACTTCACAAAATCGCGTGGTGTTTAATACTGGTTGAATATAAAACCTGTTTGGTAAATGATAAAATTCCGCAGGCTATTATTATGTTAATCCATTTTAACCCACATCACTTCATCCTAATTTAATTTGAATCTGCTTCCTTGTTGATTATTTTCAGAATTTTTGCAAACGTAATTGCCAGCAAACATCGCTTGCTAAGACAACTGAGACCATGTCAGTTAAATGGTACCTAAAAAGATTAATCTAAATAGGTTTATTTAATGGAATATTCATCATCATCATTAGCATCTTCACACTGCTTTGTCTTTCCAAGCCCGCTGGCTGTAGCTCATTCTGAGGGATCCCCAGACATCTCCCAGCCAGCACAGCATGTCCTGTGTCTGCCCTGTGGCCTGGAACATCTCCTTTAGGAGGTATCCAGGTGGCATCCTTATGGTACCTGAACCACCTCAGATGACTCCTGCAAAAGGAACAGTGGTTCTATTTCAATATCCCTCTGGATCTCTGGATTCCTCCCCCTGTCATGGATAGTGAGCCCAGCAACCCTGAGGAGAAGCCTCATTTTGGCATCTTGTACGCGTGACCTTGTACCCACAGCTCATGAGCAAAGGTCAGCATAGCTAACCTATAAAACATGAGACTTGTCTGGTGACGTAGCTTCCAGTTTACCACCGTGGAGCTGCTCAGTGCCTGCAAACTACAGGCAGCTACTCAACTGATCTAGCTGCCAATCTCAGGTTCCCTCTTATCATCAACAACATCCCGAAGCACTTAAACCCCTTCAGTAAGGGCAGATGGGAGCAATCCACTCTTTACCAGGAGTACACAGTGGACCTGAAATAATGTGTGCCTGTTCTCATCCATGGCGCTTCACACTTGGCCTGGAGCTGCTCAGATGCGTGTTGGAGACCCTGGTCAGATGAGGCCAAAAACACGACATCCTTTGCAAATAGCAGGAATGTCAATTCTGGCCATAGATACCTTTTCAGCCGCTGCTGCGCTTCGATATCCTGCCCGTTAGTATCACAAACAGGAGTAGAGACACAATGTGCCCTTGCCAGAGGCCAACACCATCTCTAAATACAGGCATCAAGGGAGCAAATAGCATGCGACAGCGGCCCTAGGAGCTTATACTTCTGCAGGACCCCCTACAGTATATACCAGGGCATGCAGTCATATACCTTCCACACAAAGTACATTCACACTATGTTAGCATGCTCCCATAAACCTTAATGCAGTTGTGTAAGGGAGAAGAGCTGGTCCACTCTTCCTCAGCCGGGGTCAGCACCTGCAATGTTGCCTCTAAATTCCAGGTTCAACGCTGCCCTAATATATTATGCCATTGCAATACCACCAACAACCAGAGGGGGTGAAGGCTGAAGCACCCATAGCACCCCTACTTCAGCCCTACTGTGTCATTGGCTTTCCTAGGTTTGTTCCTCAAACCAGTCCCTGGGACTAAATTGGAGGGATCCACATTTTTTGTTTTATCCCAGTTCCCAGCACACCTGTAACGTATTTAGAGCTTCTGATTGCTTGGGTCAGGTGTTCTGGGAACTGACCACCAAGCAATCGGCTCTAAATATGTGAGATGGCGAGATGGCGTATTCACCAGGGGTTTTTAACAGTGCCTTCTGGTGAGATGGCGTATTCACCATGGGGTTTTTAACAGTGCTTTCTGGTGAGATGGCGTATTCACCAGCTAAACGAATTCCTCAAAGTGTTCCTTCAACTACTTGACAATATCCCCAAAGTTGGTCAACACTCCGGCAGAATTACAGCCTGAGCAAAGTCGCACCTCCCTCCCACGACGCAGTGAATGGTTTGTCAAAACATCTTTTTACCCAGCCAGTAGTTTCTCTAAGCCCAACTCACGCAAAATCTATAGTTCCTGTGACTGCCTCAGCTACAGCCCCCCCCAGCCTGTCTGCACCTTTCAGCTGTTTTAGGAGACCTTGAGCAAGCTTTGCTTGGAAAGCTTCCTTTTTCAGCTTGACAGCTTCCCTCACCACTGATGTTCACCGGCAGCTTCTAGTATTACCGCGCTCATACATACTGATTGTCTACTGGACAAATTTATTTATGTCATATTCAGTTACTGCAATGGCTGAGGCCTTGGATGTGGTCCGTTCAGACCCTGTACTTGTATTTCAGGGGGTGTGACAGTCAAGAGTTTTCCTCTCGGCAACTTGCAGTCGTATAGACGTGCATAGTCCTCATTCTGGGACTTGGGCCACCTGAGGTCTTTTACCATTCGAGAGGTTCACAATTCCAGGTTTGTTTCTATGTACAGCTCTGTCTATCTGATATTATCTCCTGCGTCTGCTCAGACTGCTGTCCCCCAGGGAGATTTTCCAAAAGCAAGTTTCTTTTGTCAAATATCTGTACGGGTCCTTATGGTCATTCTTGCTGACTAACTTGCACGTCACTGCATCTGACCCTCACTTTACAATCTCACATAGTCAGTTCAGGCTGAACCTGGCCAGGTTGCATGGGTAGCCCGGCCATCCGAAGCTTTCTGGTGAACACCCCCCAGGCATGGCTCCAGGGGTATATCCTGATAGCCCTATTGCAAGGCAGGCTTTTAATAAGGGGGGGGAACATTGTTGGATATTTCTTGGACTGTAGACTGCCTGGCCTTTAGACCTGCTTAGCAAGGGAGGCATGTGGATTTTTGATACACGTGATACCCTCCAGCATAAGTCACGATCCTCACTGGGGTCGTAGAGTTTTAAGCGGGGGAATTACAGCTCATGCGTCCATGCATGAGGGACTGTGGGCCAGGGGCCATTCAGCCTACTGTGCTAAAGCAGTGTTTCCCAATCCGGTCCTTGGGGACCCATAGCCGGTCCACAATTTTGCTCCCTCCTAGCTCCTGTGGGTACCCTGAGGATCAGATTGAACATTGTTAAGAAGATGTACACAGCCCATTCTTTTACCACTATTCCTCTGCTAGGAATGAAATGATATTTGCCACAGTGAAGTACAGACACATTGGAATGCTTCATGATGAATGGATTCAGCCATACATTGAAAAACCAGTCTCACATAAACATGATCACATATAGACATAGATAAAATTTACATTTTAAAATATGAAAGTATAAAAAGGCTAAAATGTGCGCCCAACCCCAGAAAACATACAGTTGTCGTAGCTATCAAGTTTACATTCTCCATTTTGCTCTGCTTTGAAAGATACTCACATATACGAGTGGGGAAGTTTGGTGTCTGAGCACAGGATCAGCTGGCAAGTGACACGTCTGCAGCAAGACGATGAAGATGATGACTGATATAGAGCCTTCATTAGAACATGCTGCTGCTCATTGACACCTACTTTGCATATGTGCAGAGGTGATCAGTTCAGGTCCAGAAAGTAACAATCCAGGCCAAGATTTTGTTTCAACCAGCCAATTGAGTACTTTGTGACTGTGAGTCATTATACTCAACTGGTTTGTTGATACAAAATCTTTTTTGTACTTTTTTTGGTCTGGGCTTTTTATTTTCCGGACCTGAACTATATATCCACCACTGCATATGCGAATGAGGACAGCCCTGGCTGGTAGTGGCTGGTAGTGTTGTCCAGGGAGACAGGACCTCATAGCAGAGTGACCCATTATGGGGTGCAGATTATCCGAATAGCAAGGCAGCACTCTGCGGTCATTAAGCTCTCTCTTAAAATTTTACATTTTACATCACAATACATTTTAAAATGCCCCACCTCCAGTTACACTGTCTATGGAATTACCAGAAACATCAAACGGACCATCGCTTACCTAAGACTGTAGGAAGATGCCGATTTGCTGCCTGTTTTTGGTGAGGAAATATCCTGATGTTCATTTCCATTCTGATTTGCTACATAATCAGACTTGAAATGCTATTTCCGACCATGAATGTTTCATTTAGATATGTTAACGAACTCCACATTTGATGTCTTCGGTGATTACTTGGTCAAGAATGTAACATGAGCAGGAAGTACACCCCCCCACCATAAATTATATAACAAAAAAAAAACTTTTTTTTTTTTAATATTTAAATAAAAATAAAATTAAAAAGCTACAACAAAAAAATCTTCATGTTTTTGTGCTTGGAAATAACAGACAGAAACTCACTGATTATTTTCTGTCACAGCAGATCGTCATTGTCAGTCTAACACAGCTGCATGCTGGCGCTGTTCATCCAAAGGCCTGAATATCTGTGTCTCTTGGCCCTTTTCATCTGTACCTTCTAATCAGTGTACATTTTGTAGCTGAAGCCACAGCAGTTTTCGTGTGTTTTTGTGTTCGAATATCAAAGGATGGACATGAAAGTGAGGCCAGAGGACCCTGTGGCCATTTTTGGCTAATGAAAGCAATTTCTGATCTAGCGTGCCGAGATCTTACAGATCATAGCCTGAGACTGCAGCCCTCTGATGCTGTGCTGCTGTCTGCTCCGGGACCTTTGGGGCTCCTGGGGAGGCTGGCCTATTGGTGGGGGGTGGGGGGTAAAGTGCTGTTCTTTATAGCAGTGTTGCCCAACCCGGTCCTCAGGCACCTGCTAACAGTCCACGTTTTTGCTCCCTCTGGCAGGAGCTGGGAGGGAGCAAAAATGTGGACTGTTAGGCTGGGAGCAAAAATGTGGACTGGCTGTGGGTCCCCAAGGGCCAGGTTGAGAAACACTGCTGTATAGCCCTGTTCTCCCTATCGGCCCATTATCCCTCCACAGGCCTGTACACTGGCTTCACTGTCTTACTTCACTGGGATCTATTCTTCCTTAAGATTCCACAAGATGAACTTCATTGATCCCAGGGGGGGGATTCTTTTGCATACAGCAACAAGGTGGGTAAAGTGTAGACAGACAATCATATAATGCAAATAAAAAGGTACACAATTTACAAACATAACATCCAGAAAGAGAATATTAAGCAAATAAACATATAAATAAAAAATAACGTATTAGAGGGTATTTGTGCAATATGAAAAAACAGCAAAGACATGTTATGGCTGGGGTTGAAGGGAGGCCACAGCGAGAGGAGAGAGGAAGAGAGAGGAGGAGAGAGGAGGAGAGAGGAGGAGAGAGGAGAAGAGCCCCACAACTAATGCCTGCTTCACCCATGGGGTTCTATTCAAGAGACTATTTATGGCTGGCAGACACTGAAGAGCCTCATCCAATTCATCCAGATGGCAAAACGGGCGCCAACGCTTTATATTAACTGCACCCTCATTATGCGTTCATTATGCATTCGTAGAACATTCAGTGCACCTTCATAATGAATTCATAGCGCATTCATAAGCAACATATATATGCCTTAACAGCTTAAATATACACGTTAAAAACAAACATTATATTCATATATTCATGCTTGTTATTAATGCGTATTAAAGCTGTTAAGGAATATTAGGATATTATGTGTTGCTTATAAATGTTCTATGAACGCATTGTGAATGCATAATGAAGGTGCACTGAATGTTTTATGAATGCATAATGATTAATGCATGCATTATGAGGGTGCAGCTAATGTAAAGCGTTACCAAGCAAACTGTAGACTCAAACTTCACAAGATGAGACTATCGTTGTACCTTTGAACCAGGCCCTGATCCAGAGATGGTTACGTGATATAAATTGTGGGCTGTATTGGTTGCTGTTTCCTGCATGCTCTCTGCGTATCCTGTCGCTCTACTGCAGGATTAGGAGCATGAGCACCTGTCAAAACCCCATGGAGATGCATCCCTATGAGTCTGGGAGAGCACGTCTTTACTGTCAGTGTCAGTTGCATCTCGATTGAGTTGAAGGTGTGAGATGCATTCAGGAAGAGGTCCAACAACAGCCAAAGATCCTGGGTTTTGAGGGTAGCTTCAGTGTGTGGGAGTGTGTGTGTGGGACAGTGTGACATGCTTCCCAGCTTCAGGGCTATGTCTGCAAAATGGATTCAGAGGGTGACACTTTTCCTAGAACACCATGACAACATGGATGGCTTTCCTTGACAAGTGAGGGAGCATTACTGCAGTAGACAGGAAGTGATGTAAATAGGAGCAAAAGCAGGACTTGTTATATGCTGTGGCTTGGAGGGTCATGAGGGTCGCCGGTGTGAATCCCAAGGCCAGCTGAGTGTCACCACATCACCATTGGACCTTTAAACGAAGCCTTTATCCCCGAAAGCTACTTTGGGGCGCTGAATAAATGACTGACTCTATGACCCAACCACAAGCTGAGCGCCCCCCCCCACAGCCCCAACATTCCTGCCCCAAAACACAACAATATAAATACGTCAACCCACACATATTCCACCTATACAACACAAGATTCTTCCCAAAGTATTTATTTATTCAAAAAGCACCAAAATATTAATACAATGGGATCAATTCTCCCATGTTCTCCTCCCATTAGTAGACAGACCACCTCATTTAGCTAACAGCTAAAAAAAAACGGAATAATGCAACTACATACACTAGTAGATTGTAAATTAATCACTGCAGTGTACTGAGGTAGGTAGTGTAGGGAGCAGTAGAAAGTTCTTAGAAATAACTATTGAGAAAAATAGGCTATAAGAACTATTAATCAGATTATCTGCTACAGACACTTAGTATTACTTCACATTCAAAGTAGTTCGCTAGCTAGCTTATCAAATCAAAAATGAAATCATGACTTTTATTGTCACATCACTAGAAGAAGTGAACTGCTCAGTAAAAATCTTGGGTCATGATTTCCTCTCACTATCAGTACACTATCAGTCATAACTTTTTACAAATACTGAGATTTTCTACATTTTCATCTTACTTCTGATTTACTAAAAATACACTCAGTATTCTTTACTAACAAATAAATTTACAGTATGTTCACTATTTGAGCACCTTCATTAGCAAGAAAATGTCATATCGTTGATTCATCAAAGTAACCTTCTCTAGCAATTATATATAACAGCAGAGAAAATTCAAGGCATTCCTGGTAATACAGTATACTGCGGTATTCTGGGTTTACAAGTACAATGCTAGATTTCAAAATTCTGTGATATGCCCAAAATATATTTGAAAACACCAGAACTGCATTGTACAAAGTACTGTACTTTCGACAGAACTGTGACAAACATCAAATTTTGCTTCATTGGTGTAAAATAACTCCACAGGAAGCCACTTTTCCATTCCATTGGCTCAGCCATCAGCACTTTCTTGTTCCCATCACTCTGTCTGTCTGACTGACTGACTGACTTGGAGCCGTAGTTCTCAGTCTGGAGCAGAAGGAGCAGGCGGAAGGAGAAGCAGGTCCTCTCCTAACAGAGACACTGAGGTCCTGGTAGTGGTTCGTGTCCTGTATAATAATGTAAACATTTAAAACATTTAAATGCCAGGTAAACTATCTTTAGTTTAACATTGGAATTGATTCTCAAAAATTAACCATTAAAATCAAGAGTCGATATTTCAGGATTGATACGCACATCCCTAGCAGTGACTATTGAGTTAAAGTGACTGCAGACCATGCATGCATGCTGGTGTTTTTATGAAAAAGAGGCTCAGTCCTCACTGGAGAGAATCAGGAAATTTATTGAAGAACATAGGACACTGCCCATCTGAGTACTCGGAGCACTACACAGGCGTCTGCTACGGGATCTGAAATCACAGGCTGAATATCTTCCCAAATCTAGTTCACCGGTAATTTATTTCTTGCAAAAAAAAGCCCAAATCAAATTACAGATAAATCAATATTTTCTAATCACTTCAAATTACTTTTAAAGTGGCACTGCCCTCAGTAATCATCAATGTAAAGACCAGTATGTCACAGCCCCTAAAATATGGTCTTGATGTAAACTTTGAAAGTCAGATATGCTTCCAGTAACATTGTTGACAGCATTACAATTACAATATAGTTATCAAAAGAACCTTGAATTTAAAAAGCTTCCGAAAAAAATGAAAATAATCAAAACTGGCTAAATTGGCCACACAAACACTCTTGAACTATAGTGCTGCAAATATGAGTGGTGTGAAAATTTACTAATATATTCTAGAAGAGTGGCAGAGTGGATATTGGCACTGGTGTCTCATACTTCCCGGGCTGTGAGTTTGAATACCACCTCTGCTGTACAGCGGGGTGGTGCATGTTCTCACCATATCAGGCAGGAATCCCCCAACTACTCTGGACATGCAGTTTAGCTGAGTGACATCATTTATATGTCTACAGTGTATGATTGGGTGCATCTATCTCCCCTGCAATGGCCTGGCCATCCCATCCAGTGTCAGGGCTGGGGTACAGCCTTGTATCTCCCCTCCAATGGCCTGGCCGTCCCATCCAGTGTCAGGGCTGGGGTACAGCCTTGTATCTCCCCTCCAATGGCCTGGCCGTCCCATCCAGTGTCAGGGCTGGGGTACAGCCTTGTGCCTCCCCTCCAATGGCCTGGCCGTCCCATCCAGTGTCAGGGCTGGGGTACAGCCTTGTGCCCTGTGCTGCTTAGGATAGGCTCCAGGTCCACCGAGATCCTGACCAGAACAGGACGATGGAAGTTGGGTTCTGCCTGAAGAGCTACTTGCTCTTTATTCATACTGTGGTAATGTGCAGCGCAAATGACAGACTGACCAAATAGAACATCTGTACAGGTTTTACATGTAAAAACCTGAAGGTCATTCCTGTTAGATAGAAACATCAATGAGACATCCTCTGCAGCCAGGCTAGATATCTATTATACCGTTTACCAACATATCAATTGAGTTTAAGCTGTTCATACAAAGATTTGTTGTTTACTTTGGGAATCCATGGTGCCCAACATCTTAAATCATCGCAAATATTCTAGTGTCATCAGCAGCATTTTACAAAGTTTGAATCATAACAGCAGGCAGACTGACTCCTGACCATTCTGCGATCAAGACTGATTTTCAACTGCTGAACTACTGCGTTTTTTACAGATTTATTTTGGATTTAAATCTACATGATGGAGGACGTAAGTTTTAAGTTAATATTTTGGCTAGGTTTTGTAACTTCTTTGGTCAGAATATTCAACAAATATATCATGCAGCTTGGTTTAGTGTAAATCAGTCATCAGCATTAATTTCCATATTGTTTCCAAAATACGAGCCTCAGGTTACAGCGAATCAAGAGGCAGAACGGAGGCAGCAGGAGGCCCGGCAAGAGCGCCGAGCCCTAAATGCAGCGGATCTCCCGGATCTTCAACCCTTACCCCCGAAAGATCCCATAGATCCAGCCTTGGAGGCTCTTTGGGAGGCCAGGAGGATGGAGCCGCTGAGGATCCACGGGCGCAGCGTGGAGGAGCACAGGGAGATGTACCGCCGGCTCGTGGAACCAAAGCTGCTCTACCCTTCTGGCCGGCCTCGACCCTATTCCCTCGATCTAGGGCGCAGGATAAAGCAGCGCCTGTGGGTTGCCGTCTCCTACCCGAAATTCACCGAATTGGTGGGAGACGAAAATATAATTGACGTCGTGGAGACCTCTGGCAACCCGGGGCTGAAGGGTTATGCCCCCCTGATCGAGGTGGATGTGTGGGACGAGCCCCCGGCCACAGAGCCTCCAAGGAAGAGAGCGAGACATTAGTCCCTGCTCCATGTATATAATGTATATATGTAAATAATTGTAAATATATATATATATATATATATATATTATATAGGTTAAATAATTGTAAATATATATAATATATAGGTTAAATATAAGTAAATAAATGTAAATATATATATTAAATAGGTTAAATATAAGTAAATATATATATATATATAATATATAGGTTAAATATAAATAAGTAAATAAATAAATGTAAATGCAAGTAAATAAATGTAAATAAATATAAATATACTTTTAAAATCAAGCTGGTGTACTCCTTTCTTCTTGTGTATAAGAGCAGAGTTTGACATGAGCTCATTTCAGTCATCCCCGCACGGATATTAATAAATGCTACCACTGCTTGTTGACACGTTTGTAAAATATCACATTTTACAGAGACGGTCTGTCTTTTCGGGTCCGGCATTAGCCACGCTAGCGGCTAAACTATGGGCTGATATTTGTGCCACTAGAAACTAAATATGAATTTTGTATATTTGAATCTGCAGTTATCCGCATTACAAAACTGAATCTGAATTTAATAGTTTGAATCTGAATTCCAGTAACTCGAAATAGCATTTATCCTACCTCGAAAAATTCATTTTGCGAGTTCAATTTCAATCTAGTGTAACACACCTAAC